CATATAGCATATGATTTTGAAATGATGAAACTAATTTACTTGTCATTCAAGCAGTTGTTACAGGAGAAAGAAGAAGAGAATTGCAGCTTAATCATCAATCGCCCTAATAATACTTTCATAAATGAATAATAAAATTCGATTATTCTAACATTCAAATTTTATTTTGTTGTGACGAAGTTGAAATTCCATTGTGCTGTTAAATTACTCAAATGGTTGGCTGGAAATTTTGCAATCAAAAATGATATACCATGACTGAAATGATTATGATAATGATTATCTGACATACATATTGCTGGTAATTGAAGGATGATTTTATAACTAGAAATGATACAAAAAAATAAATAAATAAATGATATCATGAAACTCCTTTTCTTTTTGTTAAATTTTTTCAAATTCATTTATCAATAATATTGCATTTCGATGATTTAAATACTTCCGTAGTACCATAGATTGACAATATCATTAATTGTAGATATCATTATTATCTCAACATTGTTATTTTCTAGATATTATCAGTTATTTTTTATATCATCAATTTATCAATTTTTTCGAAAAGTCTTATCAAGCAATAATGATTTGCTCAATGCATTTAGCATTTACTGGCAACAAATAGAATAAAAAGCTTGAAATAATAATAATGACTAACAATACATTTTTGTATGTATTGCTATATGTAAAAATCGGAAATTGAAATGGAAGAAAATGAAAAACCTCACTTAGCTTTCTGTCCATTTTTGCTTATTTCTTTTTATTTTTATTTTTCATCCTACCACTTTTATTATTTCAATATTATGATAAGTTATCAATTGAAAAGCAAAAATAATAAAAATTAAAAAGAAAAGGGAATTTGTCTAATGAAAGTTTTAAACAATAATTGTTTACAATAAAAGTAAAATGATATGTGATAATCTGTTTCTAAAGTTAAGTATTTCATTTCTCTCGATTTTCACGTCTGCATTTAGTTCCAGCCGATCTTTCTTTCTATTTTTCCTTTTTTTTTCATTCCAGTATCATTTTAATTCTTAATTCTCTGTCATTTTTACATTTTTTTTTAGCTATAAACTGCCTGTGAAGTATTAATTAAGCAAAGTTTTTGGTTGTTTACAATAATTTTTCTTCTTCAAATAATCTAATTTAAAATTTTAAAAAAATCTAAAAAACGAAAGTGATATAGAAATATATTTGTTTCCCTTGATGATTTTAATGTGTCCTTTACAGTAGTTCCTTTCAAATATCGAAACATGAATAGAGCTAAGTTAAATATTTTAATAGTTTCAGATGCAATCAATTTCTATTATTGTTGGCAATATTGCATCTTCTTTTTTTGTTTGCTATATAAAAAATGAACACAATGAATCGCTGTAAAATTATGTTTAAAAATAACTTCTTTTCTCTTTAATAATTTAATTCAAAATTTGAAAAGACTGGAAAATGAAATCAATTTGGAAATATATTCATTTCTTTTGATGCTTTTAATAAATTTTTACGTTCTTTGCAACAGTTCCTTTCAATTATTGAAACATGAATAGAGATTTCGAAAAGTTATTATTAATTATTTCATTACTATACAAACAAACAATCAAACAAACACACACACATACACACACGTGCATACATATACACAAATATATGTACACTTTAAAATATCTTTTTATTAAGATAAATTCATAATTGATAGTACATCAAAAACTGACCGCTATAGTTCTTTGACAAACCTCGTTCTCAAAAAAATATACATACTTTTATCTGTATTGTTCAACTTTCTTAATCTAATAATTTATCAATAATAAATATGATGATGTTATTTTTAGATAACCAGGATTAGTGATATGGATAATATTGCTGGTTACAATTTATTATTAAATTGTTGATTTTATTAGTAGAACGATAATTTCAGTGTATTATTTATTGATTTCATTAATGAGAAAAAAAAAACTGATGAACACAGCTGTGAAACTAATTAATTTTATTATTTTTATTGGTCATTAAAAATTTTAGTATTTTTGTTTTTTTTTTTCTTAGATGAAAATGAAAATAAGTGAGAGAGAAAAAAAGATGTGGTGGGTAAACACAATAAAATGGTAGCAGATGTTCATGCAAATAAATTTTAAGTTTCAAAGAATGTAAAATGAAATTTCTAACTTTTTCATATTCCTTCGCTTTTTCCTTTTTTCCTCTTTTCAATTCCTCTCTTATTATCTTAATCTCCTTACCATCCATCTCTTTTCATCTCCTCCTACTTCATATTCAACTTCTATTCCCTTCCTCATCTCTTTTCTAACATTAATGTTATCTTTTTTTTTTTGCCATAAAATTATTCAATATACCACACCCAATTTAATTTTATACGATGAACATCGTTATAGATTAGGAATTTAAAACTGTGGTGCTATTCAACCTTTTTTATCACTCATTGTTTCCTTTCTTATCGTCATGTTCGAATATGTTAGCACAATGTTTCACTTTTTTTTTTTTTAATTTTCTCATGTGCTATGCATTATTTGACAATATCGATACTTACCAATATTATCAATAAGTGTAATTTAAAATACTCTTATCTTAATGTGATATCTAAATGAGTAAGTTGAGGATGATTTAAAATGCAAGAGTAATTTAATTAATATATCAATAAAGTGCATTTGGATAGTATTAAAGTTTACTGCAAAATTTTTGCGGATACGAATGATTTACGTTTTGATTTCTTCAATTCAATCACTTAAGTGTTTAGTTTTAAAATATTCTTATAACTTAGCATTTCCTTTTCTTCTTTTATATTGTATGGAATTATTAAATGATCTTACTTTTATTACGATATTAAATGATCGTAATGTTATTTTTATTATTTTTTTTCATTGTAATAAAGAAAAAAACGAAGAATGATTCATGCGAATGTTAAGAAACAGAAAAAAAAGAAGAGATTGTGCTAATTTCTTAATTTATAAATTCGTACAACAACTTACTAAATTTGAAACATGCAAATGATTTACTGATGCATAATTTGTTATGGCAATTCGATCATTAAAATAAACAAACAAATAAAATTTCTTTTGTTTCAGATTAGGAAAATAAACAGTTGTTGAGTATTATTTTCATATGAAAAATGCAAGATTTTTTACTTCTTGTCTTTTAAATTTTAATTCTTCACGTTTTTCTTTTTAATCAAAAATCACCTTTTGTACATTTTATATAGTTCAGTAATTTATTTGCTTCATTTGAATAAAATTAGAAACCTTATAATTTGATCTGTTCAGAGAACTTTATATTTTTATTACCATATAATTTAAAATCGTAATTTATTTCATTGATCTATCTCTATTAGTTCTTTTGCAATTTACTATTAACCCCCTCCCATATAATATTATTAATCATTTTCCTTGCAAATCTAAAAAAAACGAATAAGTACACAATTATGGTGAAATATTAATGCAAATAATAATAGCTCGAATTGTTTATCAATTTACTAAAATATCAATAAATTAATGCCAAAGAGTGTTTTCATGAGGATTAGATTTTGAAAAATGTTTGCTAAATCTAAGAGAAATAATTATCATTAAGTTTTCTATGAGTTGAGAAATAACAGAAAATATGCGCTCAATTTTATACCATCATGCAATAAACAATTGAAGAGATTAGTGAGCAGTGTACTATTATAAGGATAAGTAATGATTAAAGATAAGCTGCAAATATAATGATTGATTAGCATGAACAAATTTTCATTTGCAAATGATAGCAACTGAAAAAAAAACAAGAAAGATGGATAAAATGAAAAAATTCTTCACAATCTGTCAAGCTTTTCTGGTATCATTTGTGCAGGTTTTATTGTTGTTTTAAGAAATTTCTAAAGTCAAAAATGAAAGATTGCAAAGAAAAGGAGGTAGACAATAATAGTTTGAATAATTTTTTTTTTGCTATCTCAAAAGCAATTAATATTATTTGTTTTAAAATCGTTTTTCAATGAAAGAATTAAATTGAAGGATAATTTTGGATGAATTAATCAAATAAAAATAAGGAGGAATAAGTTATGTAAAAAATCTAATAGTAATGAAAAATGAGTACGATGAATCCTTCCATGTGCTGAAGTGTCATTGATCAAACTTATATTAAATTACTTTTTGTATTGTTTTTTCCATATTGATCATTCTTATAAAATCAATTATCATAATACAAAACAAAGTTAATTATATATTGAACTATGCTGAAATGTTGGAAATTATAATAATGCAATTTTTTTTTACCAATCTAATTTATTCGTTTGTTTATTTTTAAATGCGTTTCAGATATCAGATTAAAATTCTTGTAAATTTTTAAAAATTCACTTAGAAGTAAATTTTAAAAAATTTTTAGTGTTACTCGTTCCTATTGTTAATTTTAAAATTGTTAAATCTCAGACACATAATATTTTAGTGGAATGAAAATCAATAGCCTATCATAATATATTTGTTCATTCTCATTCTTTTAATCCCATTGTACCATATTGATAAATTAATTTAGATGAGGATAGTTTTTTTTTTTTCATCCTTTACTTTTAATAATTATTTTATCCACCTTGAAATTTTATTTCATTTCAAAAAACTAATCAGTACATCATTATCATATTTCCATTACTCTTTTATTTCAATATATCTTAATTAGTGAATAAGGATAAATTAAAATTTGTTCACATTAAATGATTGCTTTTTTACCGTACATTTAATTGTTCATTGATTTAATGAAAAATGACAATGCTATTTTAAATCTATCAATGCATTTTAATCATCTAATTTTAATGAACATATGCTGTGCTATCAATTGTTCGATTATTTTCAACATTGCATAGAAGAGCACTTCTGATTTCCTTTCGTAGCCCATATTAGCTATTAATTTCAAGCTGCAAAGAGAAAAAATCCATCCAAATTAATCATTTATAAAATTCATTTGATTTCATGTAAATAAATCTTCATATATTAATATTCTCATTAAATTTACAGAAATAAAATGAGATATACGAATGCATATTACAAATGAGTACCACTGTAATACCATTGAAAATGCGTTTGTTGCACAGATGCGAAATTGCATTTGGTCAAAAAATGCAATTGAGTGATTGTTTAAATAACTTAGCAACACTGGTAGCATTTGAGAAGCAAGGAATTCAACAATGCTCGGCCAATCTTTCCTGTATGTCATTTTTATTTTAAATTCTTCAATTACCGTTTAAAATGTCATTATCCTCTGAAATTGACAGATGCAATTTTTTTTTTGACAGCCATCAATAATGAAAAAAAAAAAAAGAAAATTGCATTTTGCATTATACATGGTAGATTAAAATTAATAGAACAATGATAGATTTAAAATTGCATTATCATTGTTGAAATGATATTTCATTGAAATTGTTTTAATAATATGTGAAAAAAAAATAGAATTGAATTCTTACGAAATATTTGGCAAAAATATTTCAATGAAATTACTAATTTATAAATTCATTACAAATTTTAATTATATTGCAAACATTTCAAATTTGCATTTGCTTATTTCATTTTCATTGAATACTTTTCTGCACTTAGAAAAATTAAAAATTAAATTTAAATTTTAAAATTATTTGTAAATTTTAGTACCACAATATATCCATAATAGTGGTTATGACAATACTTGCGGCAAGGTGGAAAGGCAAATTAATCAATTCGCAATGCCATTGCTACAGTTATTATGTTTGTCCGGAAATATTCTAAATTTACTCATTTATCGATTACCTTATTTTCAAGGTAGCACATCGGTTCATTTCCTTAAAGTCAAAGCTTATGCCAATTTAGTGTTTGTTGAATTTAGAATTTTTGAGGTTAGTTTTCAAACTTTTATTAAAATGATACTGTAATAATTGAAATTTTGATTTATTTTCTTTTTACAATTCCGATTATTCTAAATTTTAAACATATGAAATTTCAATAGCTAATTTCCGTTATTTTTTAATTTTTCAAGCCATTTAAACGCTTAAATTAATGGGAAAAAAATTATAATAATTTTTGCAAGGTGATACATGCATGGAATCTAAATGCAGATCCCTCATTTGAAACGTTTTATTGGTACACAAAACCATTTGTCATTACAATTGCTAGCATAAGTGGTACAGTATCTACATGGTTCGTTGTATTATTTCACTTTTTAACGATTAAATTTAAATTTAAAATGAAATAATAGTAAGTTATCTTTTATGAAGACAATTATCGCATTATTCTAAATCAGTATTAAATCATCAATTAATTTTAATGTTAAATCATCAATTAATTTTAATGTTTGAAATTTGTTTGCATTAAATCTGATTCATTGCATTTTACAATTTTTTAATCAAACTTCAAATAATAAAATTAATTTTGGTCTTTTAAATTTCAAATATTAAAATTTGATTTATAATTCAGTTATAGTTATAATACAAAAGAAATATTCACAATCATACAACATTTTTTTCAACAATACCTCAGTGAAAAGATGGCACACTGATAATTTTGTCAATTTTAGGATGACATTAGTGATAACAGTTGAAACGGTGCTCTGTGTATTACTACCATTTCATTTCCGTCAAATTTGCACAAAACGAATAAGTTTGATAATATTATTTGGCTTCGTTCTGTGCAGCATTTTCTTGCATATACCATTTATATTTATTCAAACAGTTATTAGTAGCCCTATATTGAAGGAATTGGAAAATCAACAACATAACAGGTTTTTAAAAAAAATAAAATCAAATAAGAAAAGAAAAAAAGGATATTTGCATTTAAATTTACTTCCTTAAATAATACAATTCTGTTCTATTTCATTTATTATTTTAATATAATTAAAAGATTTTATCAGATGCTATTGGATTACAAATCAATATTTTATGCAAACGTACAGGGAACCATTTTATAAGTATATACAAAAAACATATTATTGGTTACAAATAACACTTTCAATTCTTATTCCAAATATCGCTATGCTTGCATGTTCCATATTAATCGTCATGCAATTTAGTTTCAAGGTAATTTAACTATTTTATTATGAGCATATCATTGAGTACGTCTACCAATGTATTGTAGGGTATATAGGATGCCACAAATTGATCATCTACCTTTATTTATCCGATATAAAACTGATTAATTTGTGATAAAATTCTAATTTTTGAGTATACAAAAATGATTCATGCAAAACTATTCAAACAGAACTTTAGAATCACGGCGAATCATTTAGTCAACGTCGAAAATGCGTGATTAGAATGACCGTTGCTACAACATTATCACATCTTTTATTGGAAGGACCAGCACTGTTAACATTTGCTGCTGTTGCAAGGAAAGGTTATTTGTTTAATTGAATTTGCAAATTAAAAAAAAAAACGAATCCTTTTTGTTCATTAGCATAAATATTAACAAAAAAATAAAAATTTCTTTTTTTTTCACAAAATTTTACTCATTTTTTCTATTTCTATAATTTGTGATATTAAAATTGATATTTTTGTAATTTAATTTATTCGAAGAAACTTTTAAAATTTAACATTTGTAATAAAATAAAAATCCAAATTTGACATTAGATAAAATATTTGAAAAATTTTTGTAATAATTAATGAATTTATATTTGTTCAGGAATAAATCTCATATATTTAAAACTTCTTTTTTTTTTTTCTCTTTATAGGTGCAGATAGTTCGGATCATGACAATAATATTTGTATATTAGCACATGGAAATAATTTGCTGTCAGTAATTAATGCTGCAACGCCATTCTTCGTATTCCTTGCATTTAATGAGCAATTCCGTCGTATGTCATTGGTATTTATACAAGTTCATTTTGTACCTCAAAGATTTATGAAAAAAGTATCCGTACCGCCAAATAAGTTACAAGGTATTAGTTCGTCCGTAAAACTAATCAATGAAGTCAGTTCATTTCCATGCAACTATACACATTTGTAAAATAATAATAATACTTTCTTATCCTTTATTAAATCCGTCTTCCTTTTCTTTTCTTTTTTTTTTTTTTTTTCTAACAAGGGAGGACATTATTTATTTAGTATTTGTTGTTTGCTTGATTTTTATTCCCTTTTTTTTTTTGACGAAATTTCTGCAAATTATAAATAAATAAAGACTTCGTTACTTTAACGAAGTCCTTATTTTATCATTTTGATTCCTTATTTTGTCACTTTAATAATAGATAGCATAAGTATGTATGCAATCAAAGATGAAGAATAAAGGATTTGTTCATGCAAAGATATTCCAACACATAATGTATCGTAATAAGTAAGTGAAGAATAGCGGAAAAAAAATTATTTGCTAGTAGCAACCGTTGTTATCCATTTTCCTCTTTTTTTTTTCCTTTAAATTCCATCGATTTATTTTTTGATTATATTTTGTTTAATCTATTAAAGCACTTTTCTTTTTCTAAATTACTTCATTTTAATGAATTCAAATAAGTTTGATGAACATTTATTCATTTCTGCTTATTTATATAAATAAGCTTTTCATCTAACTGCTCATTATTACTCTATATTCTAGCTTTTTTTTTCCATAATTTTCTGCAAAAAAATGTTACTTATAAATTCCAGGAATGTTAATTTACATTAAAAATTAATATATTCAATTTGTACTTTTATATTCTTGGCATTTCAGGTTAGAGTTCAAAAAAACTTTATGGATATCACTGTAAAGATATTCGTATAAAGAGTGCTTCAATGTAAAAGTCAATATCACGGAAACGAATGAGCAAATTATTTTCAGTAATTATGATCTTAAAACGCCAGCTAATTGCATATCTTAAAGTACTAATTAATTCCATCAAATTACTCTATTATAATAAAAGAGATATAATTTACACATGGAAGAAAATTCTTGTTATCAATATAAATTATTAAAAATTAGATAAAGTCCATAATTCGACTCTTATTTCTACACTTCCTTACTCTCCCGCTATTTCTTCTCCGTTTATATAAATTCTTAAACCTTAAAATTTCCAAATAGTCATAATGAAAGTAATTTAAAAAAAAAATGAACTATTATCAGTGCGATATAAATAAATAGAAAAAAGATAGATAAATGCTAAACTAGCCTAAAATGATACTATTACAAAAAGAAGTGCAATTGATACTGAATGTTGAATCAATAAAATATGTGATGGATATATATATATAATAATCATATGATTAATATTGGCTAATCGAAAATCGAAATATAAGAACATTAGATCAAATTAGTGATAAACACAATTTCAGATGAATTTATCACATCAATGTAAAAAATTATTCCAACGTTATAACATTTAGATTGCATATTTAATGTGCAAAAATGGAGCTTACAATTATTCATATGCCTTTTATTAAATCAAATTTTTTTATTTTTATTTCGCATCAAAATAATACGTAATATATTATATGCATAGAAAATAATGCAAAAAAAAAATCATATTTAATAATTGTTCAACATTTTCCACTTAAAAATCTTTATAAGGTAAAAATTTGCCTGATAATACAAGTGATACTCGATCACCTTGCTCATTTTTTTCACGCGCAACGGTTAGATTAAAATCAATTGCACTCATTATACCATCGCCAAATTCTTCCACAATTAGCTCCTTAATTGTAGGTCCATACACTGATATCACCTTAATATTTTATAAGAATTTAATTTTTGTCATATGACAATTTAATCTTTTCTTTTTGCATTATTGCAAAAAATCTTTCACTGCTGGCACTTATTCATATAAATTTTCATAACAAATTTTGTCAAGTTTTGATATGAGAACAATCCATTAGGCGCTTATCAGAATGATAATGAAATTTTGCTCAAACTCTAATAGTAAGTCTCTCTTAGGTAAATAAATTTGTGAGTAAATAAGTAAGCATTTTTGTTAGAAAAGATGCGAAATAACCTCATGTAATCGATAGAGAAGTGGATCGGAAGAAATTCCTGATGTACCCCTTTGAGAGACTGTTTGAAGCCATGACAATGCACTTTCTGGCAAATCAAATATCTCAACAATTTTTTCTGCCTGTTCCTTCGTCATGGTCATTTGACCTAAGCATGCTGCAGTTGTCCACTCTTTGCTTTTACCAATTTTTTCCGCTACCGATTTCCATGTGATACCTTTTTGGATTTTTGTTGACAAAATAAGTTTTGTTACGTCTTCTCGAGATTTCATCACTTCGACAGAGATGATTCTGGAAAATATTATTAAAAGCAAAAAAAAAGAAAAAAAACAAATTTCTAAACTGAAATTTACACTTAAAGTTATACCTATTCTAAATCAAGTTTTAAAAAAACTAAAATTGCTAAATTCAAATAGTTCACTTGAAACATTATTTTACCTACTTCGTCTCATTTTCAGCAAGATTTTTTTTTTTNNNNTTTGAAAATGGACTGCTGAATTTATCTGAAATTTAGCAGAAACGAATAAGAGAGTGGAGATCAAGTGTGAGAGTAAATGTATTTCACAAATGAACAACTTACTGAAGTTGATTGGGTGTAATTTAAACAACCGAAATATTTTGTGTAAAGTAAATGAAAAGGTTACTGAGGAAAAGAGAAGATTGTCAGTAAGACAAACAAAGAAACTCTTTCCTCTTCAGCCCTATTATTAATCTTTGTTGTTTTCATTTTAAAAGGGTAAGTAAGAAAGTATCAAAATAACAATCATTATTGAAAAAATTCTTAAGCAATGAATTCTATCTGTTTCTTCGCTGTATCATTGATTGTTGAGTTGAAGGAATGAACTCATTCACTTCTTCGGACAATAAATGATTGTTAACAAAAAATTTATGACAGAAAGAAAAAATTAGAAACATTTTTTCTGAAGTTCAAAATTTACGACTGATGAGAAGGAAAAAAAAAAGAAAAAAGTAACTATCTTGTTATTTTTCAATACGTAGTTTTTTTTTTTTCAGTGTAAACATTCCTTGATCTAACTTTGTACAAAGTAACATTTGCATGTATGAGGTTAGTAAATGAAAAATTAATAAATAATAATTATCTAATATTCCTACTCAAAGGATAGCAATTTGTATTAAAATTAAAATAACGGATAGAAATCAAATGATGAACACGGATAGATTTTATTAATTGAAGAATTTCCATTTCAAATATCAATCTTAAAAATTGAATATGTTTTAATTAAAGACGTCAAATGATTAAATTTGACAAATATTTTTGTTACGAATTCATACAATAAGACATATTATTTGACTGATGCCAAATATGAAACTATTTTTTCATTTATTTACTCATTTATGAATAATACATGATTTCAAAAATAAATGGAACAGAAGATGTACTTGAATGAATCAAATTTCTCGTATCATCGGAAATGATCGAGTAGTATTGATTGCTCAATTGCTATTACTTTCAAATGTTTCTTTTTTTCTTTGTTATTACTTTAGTAGCAATTTTTGCACTATTCTTTTTGAAAAATTGTATCTTATTGTTTTTATATTTTAAAAAATTTTTGATTTCAATTCGTATTTAATAAATTTTTATTTTAATTGTAAATAAATGAACACCAACAGATGACAAATGAACAGTTGAACAAACAAAATAAACAAAAGTAAACTAATTTTTCGCAATAGATTTATTATTTTTTCATTTTTTAATTGATGTTTTGCCTTTAATATAACATATTCAAAAGACTTTTCCATTTCCAATTTATCGTATATAATATATATGCCATATTAATTCATTATTAATCATCATGAAATCATATTGAATTTTTGTTTCAGTTCGTATTTAATAAACTTTTATTTTAACTGTAAACAAATGAATATCAACGAACACAAAAAAAAAGTGAACATGAAAAAAAAAAACAAATTTACTGAACTATCAAATGTTTTCGCACTGATTTATTTGAAGTTGATATCGATGAAACAAAAATAAGCTGTCACAATATTTCTTCAATTTTAAATAATTTTTGCCATTTTTTTTTCGATAATATTGAATGAGTAAAATTTGAAATGTTCAAAAATTATAAACATTCAGGAAATAGCTCAAGTATTGTAATCTGATCTAACAAATATTATCCAGAAATCTTTAGATTTATCAGGAGAATACTGATCATCGTATTTCAATTATTTATTTGAGATGCTCACTTATTTCATATCGGCACCTTAAGAGATGTGGCATCTTTGTTTAGTGGGTGAGCTGGAACTTTGCACCCCTTCATTTCCAGCACGGCACAGTATTGGTGGTGGTGATGATGATGATGATGATGATGATGATGATGATGATGATGATGGTGGTAGTGATGGTGGTGCTGATGGTGATGGTGGTGCTAGGACCCGTATTTACTCCCCTTTCACCCGACGATTGTAATATTAGTGAAATACGTTAAACCCCGGGAGTTCATCTGTCGTCTCTTTTATATTGTATACGATGTCGTTTCTTTTCTTTCCCTCCCTCTCTCCATCCCTTCTATCCAGTCCAAAGAGACACTGATGACACTTTCTTTTCAACCTTTACACACTTATCACTAATATTTGCATAGGATTATCGTGTAGATTGATAAATATTTTTGTTCTATCTCACATCATTTTAGCTATTTTATGGTTAAACGTTATTACATGAATATACGAGTAAATAAACGTAGAGTAGAGTTACTTAAACGCTTGAGAAGCAAGTAAAACGTGAATAACATGACACATTATATAAAATGCATTGTGATAATATCCGTAGGCATATGGTTTAATGATAGCATAAGTGAATGATATGGTGTTGTAGATGATTTATAAGGTAGTGATGCATTTGTTATACAATAAAATTAGTTGATGGTGAGTGCTACAAGATGCAAAATTGCTTAGCTCTACCATTTTTCTCATTATATGTTATCGTGTTAAACAAAAAAGTATTGTTGTTATACATTAAGTAGTTAAATGTTGTCGATGTGTTACATGCACACTTTTCCACAGAACTCGCAGTTACTACTTCAACTACATTCATTTTTCAGATTCAGGTTAATATGTATTAATGTATATATAAATATTATTGTTCATTAGATTTATTATCAGTGCATAGAGGGATCGTTTACTACAGAAGCATCTTTTCCAGAAAAGGTTACTTCACTTTGTCTTCCGAAATTAATGCCTCTACGAAAATGTTATTAATATTGTTACAGGTGCGCCGTAGAGCAGGTGGCATACTTTCTGGAACTAGTCGAATTAAAATTATGAGTTTTCAAGGTAATCGCCTTCAGCATCTTAACGTCACTTATTTTCAGAAAAATACCGATTTATCACTGCCAGTTTATTCGTCGAAGGAAATTAAAGTTATTGATTTTTCTTCTCTGTGCTTTTATAATCGCTTAACATGCGTGTATGGTTTGCGTTTGGTGCGCTTTTTGTATTTGCAGCAACAGCGGCAGCTCAAGTCGATCCACTTACTGATAAGGACCATTTCAAGGTTTTCTATTGCAGTTATGTTGTTTGTACACTCATAGTTTCTGGAATTCCAGGATCACGTCTGAGTCGATAGTTGATACAATTTTTTTAATTTGGTTTTTCAAAGGCATTATGATTTTAAGGCTGGCGGCCACGACAGCAGATTTGACCAGGAAGCCTTTCTCGGCAAAGATACTGCTGAATCAAAGGACGTAGTAAGCAAAGAACGTCTTGCGTAAGTTTGATGGCCGTTATTATTAAGGAATATATTAGATTTGCTTAAAGATCCCATGTGATGCACTGCAGGGTAAAACTGCTTGCTGGAGATATACATGCCAATTATATGACATTTAGTTTAATCTGATCAGACTGCCAACAATTTTGTGTGAAAATATAACACGTATGTAGTCAAGTAACATGTTAAACAGTGTTTGAGCTACTAACAAATGCATATATAAATTGCTAATGTTCAATCCCTGAAATACATCATGCTTAAATTACCTCGGCAAACGTATAAAATTTTTCAAATTTTAGCGGGTGGTGATGTTTGAGTTTGATATCAAGCTGAAATTTTCAGGAAGTTAGTTGCGAAAATGGACGTAGATGGTGATGGCTTCCTGGAAGAATCTGAACTAAAGGATCACATTGATTTTATGCAAAAACGATATGTAAATAATGATGTTGATCGAACGTGGAAAAATTATAATGCAGAGAAAGTGAAAGATGGGAAAATCTCATGGAAAGATTACATGTGAGCTGTTGCTAGCCAATTGTAGCATATTTTAGTTGGAGCTAAATAAAATAAAATTCCAAAATTTCAGAGAAATGGTTTATGGAACAGTAAGCGAAGGGCAAGAGCTGAGTCCTGAATACCAAAAGATGGTAACACGCGATGAAAGAAGGTGGAAAAAGGCTGATTACGATTCGGATGATATGCTTGATCGAACCGAATATGGGTGCTTTATGCATCCTGAGGACTGCGATCATATGCGCGATGTTGTTGTCCAGGTGATTGGAAAATAACAAGTAAAGTGGATTAAATATATCACTTTAAATGACTGTGCACATTTTCAAGGTATAAAAAATTCTGATTATATATGCGGTTTGTAAATCAAAGTTCTGTTGACATCTTTTAATTTTTTTGTTTTCAGGAGACAGTCGAAGATATTGATAAAAACAAAGATGGATTTGTAGATCTTGATGAATATATCGGTAAGTCCATCACCTAGATGTGCATAGTACCCACAGAAGTATGGACTGTGGAAAAATGATTCTTGCAATTTTTTTTACAGGTGATATGTACAGACCGGAGGACTATCCAGAACTGAACGGTAAAGAGCCAGAATGGGTTGCCAGTGAACGGCAGATGTTCAAGGAGCATAGGGACAAGAACGGTGACGGCAAACTAGATCAAGTATTATTAAAAACTATTCTCTTTTTGAGGGAACTTTGCATTATTTTCTTTTTATATATTCAGTTTGTTGTGGCTTTGCTGTCCATATTTTAGGATGAAATGAGGGACTGGATAATGCCTATAGGTTTCGATCATGCTGATGCTGAAGCAAAACACTTAATCGGTATCGCCGATGAAGACAGAGTAAGTTCAGAACGTGTGTATGGGATGTTATCTGTTTACAAAGTTAATGTCTTTGAACTTTGTTTCTTCCCCTCTAATTTATTTCGCAAATTGAACAAGAATTGTGGAAATGAGGTTGTAGTTTACTCGTGCGATAATTTGTAGTTTGATTAGATTAGATATATGAGAAAAGTGGGAACTTGTGAGTTGAGATGGTTCACTAACTTTGTAAATATCAGGATCCTTATCGATGCATTTGTAAATCTGTCATTTTTACAGGACGGAAAATTATCTCTGAAAGAAGTTCTGGATCATTACGATACATTCGTTGGGTCACAAGCAACTGATTACGGTGAGCAACTACATAAACATGATCCTGCGGAACTTTAAATAGGTAATGAAAATAACGTCAGTTCGAGGTGTCCACGCTTTTTCGAATTTAAATTGTTATGACCATTGTTTTGTGCTACAGTGCTCTTCTGCTTAACTTTTGTTAAGTTTCATATTTGATATACACTGCAACGACCAATCAATGCCAGGCTAATAAAAATACTCACATACACATTCATGGAGACTTCCCTAAACGAAAAGTACTACAAAATGTAGTCAATCTCCATCGTAATGTTCATATAATTATCTGTTTGCTGCTTTGTTACTCAATTTGAGCTAGTGCTGCTGCTCTTTAAATTTCTATTTTTCAATAATGTGTGATAAATTTAACTGTATAACAATCTAGCTTGCTATGTCGAAGTGAATTAAGAAGTTGATTATAACTTGCACTCTCATATGTAGAAGCAGAAGAAGAAAATTGAAATTAGTCTGCTAGGTCTTCTCAAAATAAGAACAATATATACATGGAGTATTTTAAACAAAGCAGTACTAGTAATATCACATCAAATTCGCACGCATACCTTCTGAAATTGTATCAATACAATAGAGTGGCTAGTACCATAGTATTATAATCTAATGAAGAGCAACCAAATGTACATGATATTCGAATCTCAAATCCAGCAAACTGGAATCTGCGGAAACTTCAGGGTTAGTATTCCATGAACGTCATTTATATGAGCCATCGTAACGATCCTTGAGAAATATTTTTTATGGGAAACATCCTGAGAGAAGCTTTAATATCCCCATCCAACCATTTTCGATCCACTGATCCTAATTGCTCTTACGTATTTAAAACGTGGGCAATATAGATAAATTACATAAACTCATGCAAAATATCGAAAACAAAAATTTCTTGAAGCAGGTATCAGCATGTTTGTGAGTAAGGATTGCACACCAAAGCGGTGTTCGTCGGATAACCCCCCCAGCTACCACTTTTTGACGATGGAAATTGCTGCAAACCGTTGGATCCATCACTGAGTTGTGCCATCTGATGACCACATCCATGGTACACTACAGCTGGGCGTACCAGCTACAATACATTCATTTTAACAACACACCGTATAGTAATGATGAAAGTATATGTAATTAAAAAAGTGATTTGCAATGAACATTAGAAATATGAGCAATATATCTAATTTTTTACCTGCAACGTATGCGAAAGGGCAGACAGTTCCTTACTCTCCAGAAGATCATACATTTTTGCAATAGAGTACATATGTGCCACGACCAATCCGTATTGAGACCGCAAATTCAATGTAGCCAACTGTTCCCAGTGGTTTGTGTATAGGTGACCGCAGCTGTGCCAGAGTAACCGTATTAAACGACGGCAATGATTTTCAAAATTATTCGAAAAGGCAGATCCTGAGATAATATTCAATATCACAAATATTATAACAATTTGGTATATGGTAGATTTTTCTTGCATGAGAAAAATAATCTCGAACTTTTACCATATTTAGTTGGATAGAGTCGCTCATCCTTTGCACTTTTTTCACAGAATGATAATACACAATCGATGTACTGCATGGCAGAATATGGATGGTGTTTCCTTCTTTCATCAACCCAATGTGCTTTCCTATAATCTTTGCATCAATTTTTCCACAAGTTGATTTAGAATTTTCTCTTTCTATATTTTTCAAAATACAGAAAAGTAAAAACTGAAACGTTAGTTACAGATATTTATGTACCAAATATTTCGACACCAATTCTCTTTTTGAATTAAATTTAATCATACGGTAACAAATATCACAAAACTTTAATGCGATTCTCGCAGCTACTCTGGTAAGAAATTCTATCCTACGAGCTACAAATAATAAAAAAGTAAGCATCAGCGCAGGAAATAGTTTCAAACTCGAAAACGTGGCACTGAATCTAAACAAATGCAATTTGTAATTTTATGCGAGAATGCTTCTTCATTCATTGAAGATTGACAACAATGTGATAGTAAGAAACTTACGGAACACCTGGATAGGACATGATAGGGCATGACACCGGAGTGCACATTTCTGATATTGTTCCACATAAAGCATTTACATTTTCGAAAAGAGATAGAGCTGAAATATTTTTATGCCCACTGAATTTCAGTTAATGGTTTGAAAAGTTATAATTCTCCAGGTTTTAAATGTGTTTATTAGCTATAGCCATCCAACGTTTACGAAAACGACAAACGCATAACTTACTATGTGTGGCCAACCATTCATTTCTGTCCATTCCTTGAGGTAGATTCGAAAGTCGCCTAATCATCTGGAAATGATTAATTACTTTCTCCTGCCTGCAAACCTAATTCTCTTTGGCAATGTTACGCCTACACATCGAATATTCCTACCTACATGCAGAAAGTCTACACGTCACTGTGTTGTACCTTCTAGTGAACCTAAGCATATCTATAGATATTCGCAGTGAAATATCAGAATTATATAACAAAACAACACTTACTTCATCATCGAAAGAATCACAAACTCCCACTTCAGATAGTGCTTTACGTTTACAGTTGGGAGCATGGATACACGTGGTCGCATTTTTCCCTCCACTTGATGACATCCGTCGTGTTGAACGACACCTTTCATTGACACCCTTACGCCTTGACCTCCTAAAAACCATTTATATTACTTTGATTCAATACTGGACTTCGTTCCCTCCGAAAAATTATCCTGAATGATGATACCCCTTATAATAAGTGTAATCGAAGGGCAAGATAATTTTCAAAACATGCACATTCCGAATTATCAAATTTGATGTTTTCAGAAAAAAAACGCTTCATTTACTGTAATTAAACAAATAATTTTGTCAGATATTTAACCGAATTTATGAGTTGAACAATTGAGCAAACAATACGATTAGTAATATGAAAAAGGCCGAAATTCCATCTCGATAAATTAGTATTTAATTGGTTCTTAAAATTAATGAACAGCCTATTCTGAAGAAATCAACTCCAAATTATGAATGATTCATAGTACAAAATAAGACTGATGAGGTGTAGTAAGACCAGACAACAAATGTAAAGAACTGAAATAACAAATTGCTTGCACTATTCGAATTGTGTATTTTCGAACTCAACAAAAAAAGTTGCTATATGCAATTTTTACATCGTTTACATTCTTAATATGCAACAATGATGATTCAAAAAGCTCAAAAAATTGTAAGAAAAGAAATTGGGCGTAGATCTCTATGTTCCATTCATTCAATATGAGTAATAAATGAGAGAATAAAGTAAGAAAAAAAATGAACTCACGTTGCAAATGAGATGATATTAGAGAGGAATATTTTAGCAAGGCAACAACCATCCTCGCTAACATCTTTAGATGAATGTCTTGATAAGGTGCTTCGTTTTGCATGTACTTGTGGTTTTACATTTCCAGCAGATACTCCAACTGACCCACTTCCACCAGCTTTTTCCGTATTCGGATATTTTTCAGTTAATATCGATGCTACATCCATAGGTACTACACCTAATTAACAGGACATTCATTAACAGCACTTAACTATTGCAAAGCAAGCATTCCGATAATGTGATATTATACATTTAATACATGTGTTGTAATTTCCATCATTCTGTTGCATGATATTTCATTCACATCAATCTTATTAATTTCCCATTTTTGCATAATTAATCACTGGTAGCACTATTGCACTTAATGCTAAACTTTTTTTGTGTCGATAATAATTCTTCCAGTTAGAGATTCATATTAAATGAGTTGCAACGTATCAGTACTTCTGTGAAGTACTGTAATTTTTTGTCAACAAAATACCAACTAATACAATTAGACAAAATCTTATCACTTTCACACACTTTCAGGTTTATCAAATAAATTCTGAAAGGAAATACATAAATGTGATATAGGCATTTTACATCTTAGTTATGTTGCTTTTCAGATTTATTTAGCACGTCCCCTGTAAACGCCTTTCCATACATTCATGCTTAGCACTCATCATGCAAACAGAAAATGAGGTACAACCAGTGGCAGAACGAAAAAATCGATATCCACGTAAAAACCTGCTTAATCGATAAGAAATTTTACCAAATTTATAGTGAAAGCATAGGAGAGGAAAAAAAACAGGCTGCTCAGTAGAAAATGAAAAGCTGCACAACCGGAAGGCTTGAATGTATTTGCACCCGATATTTTCTAACCCTTTGTTTGGTTAACACCAACATCGCTTTTTTATGAACATAAAAATTATCAGTTGCTCAATCCAGCCGCTTTCATACATTTAATTTTTTGAATGTAAATTTTCTATTGACATTAGTAAAAAAATGCAAATTTTTAGCATTTTTTTTTTCACTTACTAAAATACATATCATAAAAGTTGGCCTCAAATATTTGGAAAACTGCAATATAGAAAATACTTTCAGAATCACAATTCAGCATCAGTTTGCTTAATACAAATCAATAAAAAACCGAACAAAACTCTACGATTTTCTATCGTTTTTTTTGTTAGGTTTTGATCCTTTCGCTTTTTAATTCCAATTATCTAATCTATAAAGAAATAACTAACTAGTATAGACTGAAGATATGGAACCCGACATCTCGCCCCAATTAATAGGCAACGATGCATTTCGTTATCGTTATTAGATTGAACATAGCAACAGAAATCAAGATGTTACTATTGTTATCTAGACCCATAACTAGAAATGGAACGATACAGGACAAGAGCAATATAAGCCGTTCTAGATTTTCATTCCGAAATCATCAATTATTAATTATTTATTAAACTAACAAACTACCTAGACCATAAAAGCACAACGCCTGTCATCTGTTACTATATATATATATATACACATATATACTTATACTACTGCTATACTACATATAGACCAATTGTATTGATATTTGGAATGAGAGTGCCAAACAAGCCGGAAAAAAACTGGATGCTCTCCTACAAAGATCTAAAACGGCCAATTTTTTACTGTTTCTAGCGTTTGATCACTTTCCTGCAAGTCTTCATGTCTTCTCTTTTTCAGAATTCAGCTAAGAATTTCTGTCAGTAAAACTGACTTCATATGATTTTTATGAAGGATGCAAGATGATAAATAAGAAATCTGCTATGATTCAATTAATAAAAGATGAATAATTCAAAATCAGCTATACTGAAAATAAACTTGCACCCACTGTTGTTCCCAATTTTTCAGCAAAACAATAATGCAAAATAAAAACAGTCACTAATGTAATTTTGCATTTTTATATAGGAGTGAATCATGGATTGTTAAATGAATAGCGAAATTAACTTTCATTATAACAAATTATAGTATAAATATTTATTAAATAAGTATGTTAACAAATCTAACACAAGTTAAATAATAAAAAATCAAAAATTAATAGTTCGTGATAATTAGACTGACGTGATAATTAGACGCGGGTAATAGTACAGCTTGCGAGAGTGAAGTGAAATGATCCTTCCCAATAAATGAAAGCAGAAATACTCGACCAATTCCTCCTTCTCTCTCAGCCTTTTTATCAATTACTCTTAACAAACGGGAATATATAAGAATGAAAGAAAAAAAAAATTGCTTGTAGTGAGAGAAAATTATCAAATATATTTCATCCAAAACTAACGACTAATAGTAAATACCATCGTTTCTATACCAACACTGATTTTAATGATTCAATGAGAGTGAAGGGGAGGGGACTGTCATCAGCGATCGTTCACCTGAGAATACACACTTCACAAACACAAACACACATACATATACATGCATACATACGCACAACCCAGTAAACCAATCCTTCATCGCTCTCAATTGAGAACAGTGAAATATATAAATTGTCACATGTGCAACATATATATCCGGTATTTGTAACAACAACAATGGTAGGCATGCCATTTCTGCGTGGCAAAATTAGGAATTTTAATTTGGCACTTTCGATCCTACCTTAAACACAACAACTGAAATCAGATGTGTGCCTCATAGAGATGTTCAGCTTTTCTACCATCATGTATCATTATTCAGCATTTCTATATCTAAGCTTTTCGCAATTCTTATTCCTGTTATTTTCGAAAATTTGATAGCCTTATTTAAATTCCTCTCTAGTACAATTGAAAGAGTAAACAAAACAACATCCCATGCTAGGTTATTGACGTGAAAGTGCAAAATTATTCAGCTACATTATTATTGTGCATCTAATAAACATCGAGTAATAGTTACTGAATACACTTAACTTTCAGTAAATTCACAGGAAAATCTTAACAAGCTTTACAACTGTCAGTTTCATTTCACGAATTTTCTATATCACCATATTCACCATTATATTTTATTTTAAAAACTCTTGAAACTCTTCAACTTGGCTTAAAATGATATGAGTCTTTCCATTACATAGTTAACCCTTGCTAAAACTCATTGAGAGTGATAGATGTTGGCCCAATCTTTCGCACTTCATAGATCGTATAGATCGTACTTTTATTCGAAACGAATTCATTGGTTTGAAGAATATCAGGCTGCTGAGAAAACCAGCAAAACACGAACATTTAGCTAAATAAACATGCAATGTGGTATCTTTTGTTGGATAAAAACTATAGAAATCTCTGGATAAATGTGAGTGCTTGAAACTCAAGAAGGAAGTGAAAATCACAGTGTTGAGAAAAAAAGACAAAGAATAAAAAGAAACAAGCGAAACTTAATTAATGAAACTGCAAAGAAATGAGGAAAAGCATTCAACCAATATGTTCTCACAAGTTTAAATTAATATTTGTCCATAAATATCAGTCTTCTTCAAAAAGATTTGATACTAATCCGATATGGAAGTCAAATTACAAATGTACTGATTTACAACAACCAATAAATGAACGGCTGTAAGCAACTAACCTGACTAATATATACAAACTGTTGCAATAAGCATCTTAATGATGTCAATTAGTGATATGAACAAAGAAATGTAAAAAAATAGTGTTAGAAACACAAATGGCGATTCTGTTAACAATTTAGTGATGACATTTTCATACAGTTTTCACAAATAACCTCAACATGGGATCCTTTATCGGACAATATTAAGACCTACTTAGTTATCCATTCGACCGTATCACGAAGATAATCCGGAAGAAGCCGATCAAGCCGGCTATTGATTTTGCTGGATGCCAGTGTAGATATGGATACGTTCGAGTTGGATCACTCAAAGTAAATCTTGGATAATCAACTTCTGCATTTGCTGCAATCCTCACCAGTGAATTCGGTACAAATAAGCTGAAAATATAAAGAAGTAAAGTGAACAAACCAATAATCTACTCGAACTATGTGGTACGCCATCATCTCAACCTTATTATTCCTGGCTGCAAAACAACAAAAGATTGACGCCAACCGCGTGAAACAACAAATAAAGAGCTAACGCGAGATGACGTCAATCCAAACTACAACAACGCCTTAACAGGATCCAGGAGGAGGGAAGAAGGATCCGAGCCATTCCATCGGTAATTTGCGGATGTGATGCTATGCAAGCCTATTTCGAAGAGAAGTAAACGACGTCATCTGGTCTGGCTGGATTGTTCTCACCTGTAAAGAGGGAAACGTATGGCAGTGTTGCTGTTGTATTGCACATGGTAAATTTTATCATTAAGCAAAAGACATTATCTCTAATATAGCTGTATTTTTTTTTTGTTTTTTTTTCCCTTTTTATATTACAATTCATCAAAATTGTATTTTATTTTTTTTCTTCTCAAGAATATTGCCTTCATTCTGCATTGTCGAGAATTAATGGAAATAATTTCGATGCTTGTATTACCCACCCATTCATTCATCTCCTTTTCATTGTTACATTCTTTTGCCGAAATTCTTATCATTTGATGGACTTTGAGTGAAAAACTAAAATATTTCTTATTACAAAATGATCAAAGTTAAGTCTCTCTTACTAGCATTTATGCTAGTAAGAGAGACTTAACTTTGACCATTTTCGAGTAATATTCGAATACATAGGGGAGGGAAACAAAAATTCTTGGAGTGTTTTGGTGGCCATCTTATATCTATGTATCGGAGAAAATCGAAGCATAATAGATTGTAATCAGTAGTAGGAGTAGTTAGACTAGAGTTGATTGTGAATAAGCCCAGCTATATCTAGAGAAAGAGAAGAGAAGGCCTTAGGCCGGCAGCCTCAGTGGTCTGACAATGCGAGTTGCTTTGAGGTTCTTTTGATCAATTTGTGTGAATATGTACTTCCCATGCTGTAACAGATTGAGGAGGTCTTCTTCTATGGCAAGACATTTTCCACTTCTCTTTCAAAGTTTATACATTATCATGCGTCATTATCTTCGTTTCTTTTTTTCAGTTTTATCGAGATAAAAATTTTTAGTTTTAACAGTCAACAAACTACGAATGCATCTGTCTTGGGGGAGTGTAACGTAGTTACTGTCTAATCGCCTATGTGTCTAATTAATAAATAGATTAAACGGAAGCAGTCTGATAAGTTTTAAATGAATTGAGCTGACGTAGCGTGCGGATGTATCCGGATATAAAGATGAATCATTTTTATGGTCTCTTAGTTGTTATTGCTACTTTGATCATTTTGCATTTATATTCACAATTATATTTTATTCTTGAAATTCACTTTGAAAAGTATTACATTTATTTTTTCAAAAAAAAATTATCTGAAAAGAGGAAAGAAGCACAAAAACATTTAAAAGATTTTCTAAAAAAAAAACACACATTGAAATATTTAAAAGTTGACATGTAAATGAGACTGCAAATGGTTTTGTGGACATTTTTCTTTATCATTCAGTTTAATTCTCTTTTACGAATTTCTAAATTCTTATTTATCTATATTTTATTATAGGGAAGTACTTTTGTTTCCCACTGTCCAATTTTTTTCAAAAATCTTTCCATTTCGAAATGGAATTTTCTCCACGAACTTGAACATTTTTTATGTGATACTTTGAAGTCACATCTGAGGTATTTGCTGTTTTTTTTGAAGTTATATTAATAAAATGTTGCTCTTATAATTCATATGAAATCGGAATAAAGTGATGAGATTCGTTATAGAGTGTACCAATCAAAAGTGTGACACGAATTAAATTTCTTAGAATTCATACGTAATTTAAATGATGGAGAATATTCGGGCATATGGTGCCGGCATGGCTGGTGGAAAATTTCAGCCGGGCGTTTTCCTAAGAAAACCGGCTGTTATCTTGCGAATCTTTGCTTTGGTTCGTCGAATGTACAGTTTTTTTTTTTCGAAGAATATCAATCTGATTGAATGATTTTATAAATGAAAATACTAGAGAAATTTTTGATTGAATAATGGTACTTGTTAGATGTGAAGGACGAACTTTCTACAGCACTTCTCTGAAGGATGCTAAGTTTGTTGTTGTAATTGTCATAGATTTCGTTGTTACTGAATTTTAAGCTCTTGCATTTCACAATCTGAAACATTAAAGGGGCTGAAAAAATGCATATAAATGACAGTTTCATTTAAGGTAATTGGACTTGCACAGTGGATTGCCGTATCACGTGGTAGTTGGTATACGTCTGAAAATGGTAACGAACAAATTTGTCTTTATGCCAACAGTTCGTCGACTTGTTCCTTCGGTTCAGCGATGGGCTTTTTTGCTGTTTTGAGTTCAATGGGTCTGCTATATCTAGATGCTAAATTCGAGAAAATTAGTTCGGTTCCAACCAGAAAACGGGCTGTAACTACTGATATGATTCTTTCTGGTTTGTTAATTTTTCTGTTGTTTTCTTCAACATATATCAAAAAAAAAAATTGAATCATTCTTTTCAATTAATGAAATTTTTATTGACCTAGAAAACAAGGAACGTTGTATACGATCGCGAAAATTTATTTCTCGAATGTAGCCTCTTTTCATTCATTGATGACTGATTCGAAACTTTTGCAGCCATCATTTGTGTATTCTTTGAGTTATTTCTTTGATATTTCTCTCCTTTTTTGTTGTGGCCAAGAAAAAGCCTTTGATATCCACTCAGTTTTTGAGTGGATAGCAAAGGCCTTTATTAACCGCAACAGTGGACAAGAATCCATCAAGGACTCTAGATATGCAAGACGCCAAATTAACTACGGATTTAAAGCACTTAATATTTTGAAACTTTAGATTTTAAAGCAGATTAGGATTTCTCTTAATATATTTTTCTGAAATTTCAAATTAATCTCGAAAATGCTGCTCAGGAAGAGTGAATCATAATTTTCAGCTTTACTGGCGTTCTTATTTCTGATAACGTTTTTTTCGTTATGGTCAAAATATGGTGAGGTGGATATAAGCAAGCCATATAATGGTGGTATGGCCAAAAGCGCCATCTTATTCTCGCTCTTGTCATTCATTACTTGGGTGATTTTCTAGTTTTGTTTCACCAAACAGTAATGAATTATTTTCGTTCCACTACTAGAAGCTCAGACGCAAATTTTTGTGTTTAACATGAGACCGGGTTTTGACGAGCTAGAAAAAAAATCCCGATTTGAATTTCGATGTTATCTTTTGCAAGTTTTTTGCCGTTTCAGTAAATTTTTTTGCAGTTACTCAGTACAATAAGTGCTTGACTCTTTCAATGAAAAAATTACTATCGAAATTTCATCGATTCTAGGGAGCGGCTGCGTTTTTTGCATGGCGACGGTACGAAGAGGGCACGATAACAAATTTTGTACCATCTTATGAACAGGATTTCGCAACTGACATACAAACTGGACCAGATTACAGTTATGGAGGAGAAAGCGATATCGGCGTTGCTGGCTAGTTTATTTGACGAATAGGACTATTTCAATCATAATGTTAAATGTTAAAATCAGATTAAAAGTTACGAAAGGCAATCGAAAAGAAGGATTTTAAGTTATTTGGAAAAAAACATGAGGTTTAGTGAAAAAAATCAACATCAAATATTTTTCTTCTCAAACATTTCAAGTTATGATTATTCAAGCTAGTTCGGAGCATTTATATAATTTATATGCAAATAAAAAAAACTGCTGTATTTTAAAAAGTACAAAATTTAAAATATTTCAGGACAAAGTGACAGAGGCACATATCAAAATGCTCCATTTACAGCATTCAATACAGCAGAATCCCCAGTGGATATTACAAAAAGTTATCAGGGATACTAGCTGAATTTTCATTTATTTTTTTAACAGAGCAAAAAAACATAGCTCAAATGTGTACACAGGTTTTGCCAACATTCGATACTTTTTTTTGAAATGCCTTATAATTGAAACAGACCAGTAATTATTGTTGATCCAATCAAGTTTATCGAGATTTTAATTTTAGAAAGAAATCTGCAATAAAAAAAAGGATTATGTGCCAGAATTAAAATATAAACGGTAATTTTCTTATAACATATTTTTTCGGATTACTTACTCGTAATTTTTATCATAATAGAAAAAGTGGTTACTATAATCCTTAGTAATCCGCCAAAGTCAAATTTTAAATCTTTGATGGTCTGACTTATCCATGAATGATATGCTGTAGTAACATTGCTTTTTAAAGGTTAAATATGTATGCTTTTCAAACCATATGTATGTTTTGTTTAGAAATTTTATACCTGCTTCACTTATGTGAATTAAACTGCGCAAACTGCATGACCAATTTTATGAATTTTAGCTAAGCTTTTAGGGAATTGCTCAGAAAATGCAGATTATTTATAATAACATGCAGTTTAAAAGTCAGTGTAATATTTTTGTTTTAACAATTACTTTTTCGTGGGAAAAAGTAATTGTTATAACAAAGTAATGTCAGATTTTTTCGTACGAAAAACAGACAATGGTCTAGAATACCAATAACTTTGTGCACTATTTAATCTTTTGGCAGAAAGAATGTAGTTATTTTTCCGGGAAATGAAGCGCTTACAGAAATTATGATTATTTCACGAGGGTCTTTTTATGTGGTACACATTTAAGATGATAAATTCGCTAGTATTTTTTAAAAAAAATTGCTGTCAATTTATTTAATCAATGTTTCTGTATCTTGACATCAATACTGTTTTACGAAAAATATCTGACAGAATAAGCGGAAAAAAAGCTGAACATTCTAACTAATCTTTCATATTAATGGTTCATGTAACGATCTCATATTTTTCAACTGATTGCTACAAATTCTTAATGTGCTGTAAAATATACTTTCATTTTCTAATGATGAAATGCGAAATGAACTATACTGCAGGACAATTTAGTTGGAATAAAAAAAAAGCATTAGATTGTGAAAATGTAAACAACAAAGATAAAAAACTAACGAAAAGAAAATTGGATAAAGGGATATTACTTGTGATATTGAATAAAAGAAGCCTTTTCTTTCCACCCCATTTTATTCTCTTTATCCATTCTCCTCCCATTACAACAATGTAGGAAGAATTAGAAAAAAAAAAAGAAAGAAGAAAACTGGCTTATAAGAATGATTTCTGTTACATTGATGGCCATTGGTTGCTACAAAACTTATTCGTTACTTTAACATTTTTAACCGTTACGTGTTAGACGTCTTTCCGCGATCGAGTAGTATTACCGGATATTCTGTCCAATGCAATGATTATTGATATTGAATTTGCAATGTCAAAGATAGTGAAGTATCAACTTCTGAAAGGAAGTTTACGATACTAATCGTTTGAAGTGAACATTTGCTTTTATCCATCCGATAATTAGATAATTGGTACTTCTGAAAATTAAGATTTATCAGGATTAATTTATAATTAAAATAAAACTCCACATTATTAATTTCGATCAAGTTGAAATCAAAAATTTGCTTAAAATTAATTATTTTTAACTCATTAACTAGATAACAAAATTTCATGGATAATTTCATGAGATTCGATCTTTTCCAGATTTCTCATAAAGTTGCATGTTCGAGTTTGTTGCATTGCCCCGAGATAAAAATGAAGGAGAAGAAACAAATATGACAATTTAAAATCTTCAACTTTCAGAAAAATAGCAAAAAATAAAATAAGAAACGTGTTTCGAGAAGTTTGTTTACATTATTCCCTCCGTAATGTTTTTTTTTTTTTTTTTTGGGAGAGAGGGAGGAAGAAGGAAGAGATTAATTTCAATAAGCATATAGCTTTGTGTATTTTTATTTTACCCATTATTTGATGAAAAAAAAAGGTAAGAGTTGCAGATTAAATTACAAATAATCCAATCGAAATAAGAAAGAAATGGTTAATAAGATTGAACGAATTCGAGAACGTCTATTATATGCTGAAAAACTCAAATATCTGACATTTTTTGGTGTTGCAACAAGTGCTTTTGCTGCAGTTATTTGTGTAATGTCAGCTCCATTACTTTATAATTACATACAGTACGTTCAGACAGAACTGCAAACCGAAATTGAATATTGCAAAGTAAGTATGAATCATTTACAGTATTGATAGCAATAATGTAATCAAATGATGATTATATCATTAATTGAATTCCCTATCAATCTACAATAAATAATGTCACATTAACAATCGCAATATATGTTGAAATTTCGTAATAAGGAATTTGTCATAATAAGTTCATAAGGAATCCTCTTTTTTCCTCCTTTGTTTTCTCATTTTATCAGTGATAATATTGCTATTAATTTAGTATAGTTTTTTTTTGCGGTTATCTGCTTTAAGTAGCAAAATGTTTGATTAATAGCTTGCAGTAAACATGCATGAAGATATAATAGTAATGATTAACCGAAATAATGAATTATTTATCTGAAATTAATTGCTGATTGAGGAAAAAGATTATTACACTAATGGGATACGTAATTATTTGCAATAAATAAAATATGATAAGAGAAGAAAACATTGTTTTTTTTTTGCTTCTTTTATTAGCTTATGACAATTCTAATAGCGAATTTAATTTTAATACTAAATTCATATACGATGTAAATTTGGATTTGCATGAGATATTAATCTTTTTTTTTTTCACTATTGTTTTTTGATCATTCACGTATATGTAAATGATCAAAAAGCAGTAGTGAAAAAATACTTCTCACTACAGAATCCGGTATTACAGTGATTCGAATTTTATCATTTATCACTCCAAAGTATATCACTTTTGTATACAATAATAAAAAAATAGAAATAAAAGCGAAAATTTTTGGCTTTAGAGTCGATCACTGGAGCTTTTCAAACGATTATCTGCAAGAAATTTGAAACAAAAACGAGGTGGAAATTTTGATGAAGAAGCGTTCAGTAGAAATGATATTAATACAATGTGTAGGTTAATTAAAATATTTAATGAAAAATAAAACTTGACAACAATAATTATAAATGAGGATTGTTGTGCATGTTTTCTATCAGGTTGTGAATGTGGATATGGATTACCGGGTCTAGCTGGGCCAAAAGGTCGCGATGGAAAAATTGGTGAGGATGGATTACCAGGAAAGGATGGAGTACCGGGAATTGATGGTGATTTGGTCGTTGCCAAAAAAGTTGAATTCTGCTTTGACTGTCCACAAGGTTTGCATATTTGAAAGTATCTTTTAACATTTTTGAATATATATTATTGCTTTACGTAATGTATTTGCAGGAGTTGTTGGTCCTTCAGGACCTGCGGGTCCTAAAGGTCCACCTGGCATACCTGGTATACCAGGCTTGGATGCTGATGGTGGTGAACGAGGTCCACCAGGACCACCTGGACCTCCTGGACCACCAGTAAGTTTTAAAATATGATTTTTTTTTTTACTGGAACAAACACTTTTCATAAAAAAAAAGTATTCTTTCCATACGGGCAACTTTTTTTAGGGCATACCAGGAAAAGTTGGACCAAAAGGACAACCAGGTGTTGATGGACATATTATCAAACAACCTGGACCACCGGGACCTCCCGGCATACCAGGCAGGAGCACAAAATTTATGAGTCAAATTTAAAACGAAGAGTACAGCTCATGTTTCCAGTTTATCTTTTCTTTTGAAAATACTCGTTAAAATTTTTCTAAACAAAAGAATCGTTTATTTTGATCAACACCTCAGCTGTAAAGAATGGAACATTACAATACGATATGGTACTTTCAGGACCACCAGGTCCAATTGGTATTCCAGGAGTCCAAGGTGAACCCGGAACACCAGGACCAACAGGTTGACTAATTTTCACATTTATTGAATCACTGAGAACTTTCGACTATGACTGTTTTCATAATGTAACAATTAGAATCTATGAAAACAGATTATTTATTCAAATTATAGGTGAGCAAGGTCCACCAGGAGATCCTGGTATTCCAGGACCTGAAGGTCGTCCTGGACTTCCTGGAGAGGATGGTATTACTGGCGAACGTGGACCAAATGGATCATGTGACCATTGTCCAAACCCAAGGACAGCTCCAGGATATTAACAAAATGATACAAAAGCTCACTGTGTTTGTAATGAACTTCTTTTGAAATTGAATTTATTTTTGATACATGGAATAAATAACTTAGACAAAAAAAATGCTTTAATAATGAAAATTTGTTTGATACAATTCGTCAAACAATTTAGCTTATGGAATGGAAAAATAAGTATTTTTTTTACAAATGTAGCAATTACGGAATATTCATTTATATATAATTTACGTTTAAAATTCTAAGACAAATTATTTTCACGAATGAATAGGAGGAATTTTTTAATTCGTTGTTTTGTCTCTTACATCGTAAAACACAATTTAATTCTTTAGCAAAATATTATCAGCCAATAATAAATCATTTCTGTGAACTAGTTCTTATTTCTGTTTCATGAAAGCAGTATAAAACTGAAAGCATTTCCAGAAACTTTTTTTAAAAAAAAAAACAATAAAACGAATACTTGTGTTTGATTTAAAACTGTAAACAAAAATATGCTTCATTGATAAATGATGGAGTAATTTATGGGATAATCGGAATGAACAATAATATAAATTAGCTGTATTATATTTATAAACAATGATTATATGATAAAATAAAGTGTTAAACTAATAAACAAATCTTTCTTAAAGGATTAATGACACTCACAAAATTATTTTTAGTTTTTTTTTTTTACACCTGCTTCAAGACGGAAATTTTCAAGTAAACCGGTTCCCAAAAATGCTTGCAATTTTTTAATTCTTGCATAAAACATAAGCAAAAACTGGTTCATAGAAAGTAATTGTTGTTGATCAATATACTACATGTTGTAAAAAAAAAATTTCATTTTACGACGGAAAAAAAATTGACGGATAAAAGAAACAAAAAAAAAAAAGCTCGATATTTTTCTTATAAAATGGCTTCTTGTTCGAAAACTTTTCAAATGTTTTCAAATTAGTACTAATTAAATTAAATCAATGGAAAAAGTCATAAATAACTATGCTTTAGTGATAATTTCCAGTAAAATTAAATTTTAATACATGTCTCATTACGGATATGAAAATGGTTGAAAAATGTGAAAGTATAGCAAAATATATTTTACAAAATTTTCGAACAAACAGGTTAATACTGTTCGATGGAAATCATTTAAG